GATGATATATAGTTTTCTGGCTCAAAAGATGCCGAAATGCTTCGACCAAAAGTTATAATCAAGTAGAAAAGTTTTTACGTAAGTTAATTCTTGTATATTTTTAGCGCTTTGGCTACATACCCACCTATCAAGTTCATCAAGTGTTACAACCAGTATGTTCGTAATTTCCGTAAAAAAAAATGTCATGTTCGATTCCATCCATTGGCTCGCTCCACAAACGCCACTAGTGGTGAGTCATTAGGGATTCTCTTTTATATAGAATTGGATCTAAATAATAACAATGACATAAACTATTTCAACGCTACCGATGAGAATAATCGATAAACATCGATTTTATGTGACGTGACACTAATAGCATCAATTGTGCAGAGTTTTTTTCTGAGCACGGCAGTATAGGAGTTTATAAAACACCGTGATTGGCTCCTTCCTCTTGAAAGTATCGCTTTCGTTTTGCCATGCCGGTGAAAACGAAAACTTCGAATTCAGGCGCAATAACTCACATTCGGCACGACGCGCGGATCGCAACTTGCTGCGCCAAAAAAGAAAGAGAAGACTGTCTCATATCCTCCTTCACCTTTCAACCCTCCCCCTTGCCACAGTTTCCTTCCAGATCGTTCAGGGAAAAGGGGGGGGTAGATAAAGAAGAGAGGGTTCGTGCATCGTTTTTACTGCTACCCTTAATAGTTTTGCTTTGTAGGAATAACTACCGGTTAAATTATAGCCTTCCCTTTGCTTCTGGAGTTGATCTCAATACACCTCGAGAAGGGTTTCCAGCTTGGTATTTTTGCCAAACGGAACTAAGTGCATTCAGACATGAGCCCTGAGGCCCATAAGAATATGTGCGTAGCAGAGCTCACGTCATACTGCACATAGTTCTGTTTGATAGAGATACGTCCTCTCTGTTACTTAAAGCTGAGGGATCGTAAGGGATTGTTCGTGTAAGGGCGTAAGGGCGTATCTCCTTTTTTTAATGAGCCCTCTATTCCGTATCGCTCCATACTTTCCAGGGCTTGTCTGAATGTTGAATTGCGCCCTTACGTCAGAAGAGAGATGATAGTTCGTAATGTGTGTGTTTCGCGAGCTGTAATCTCTGGTCCCCTCCTTTTGAGATGAAACACGGGAAAATATATCGCGGCAAAAAACGCGGACGTTTCTCTCCGCCTCGCGATGTTGAGTTTTCCTCCGGTTTATTTATCTCCTTGATATTATTTTGTGCTTCATGTAGATTCGGATTCGTTGATGGGTGTTCTTGACCTTCCGAGAAAAAAAAAATAAATGCCTTTTAAAAAATACGATTGTGTAAATCTAATCCGAAATAATGTTGCCAATTTGATTTTGAAAAAATCCATGAAAATCTCTGTTTTTTTCTCTCTGTAACTTTTGATGTATCAGAATTAATGTAAAATGAAAGAGACAGTACATAAGGAAGCAACCTTTGAATAATGTGACCCTTGTATTGGGTAAAAACGTGTTAATTATGTTCCAACATTAATATCCCTCAGGATTTACAGAAAATTCAAACTTCCGGATGAAAAAATATTTAAAGTAATTTCAAAATATCGCAACCTCGTATTACACCTCTAGTTCATAATATTTTAATTAGTGTGGTGAAAATTCGTCACCATCTATGGACAAAGTGGTTTTGAGGCAGCCACAATCCCAATAATGCATTGGAAAATGCGTCTATCTCCGAATGAAAGAACCTAAGTGCATTTTAATGTTGCAAAATATCCAATCGTAAATTATATCTTTACCAAGTGCTGTTAGGTATTTTTGACTGAAAATATCACTGACATTTCCTCTGGATGCACATAGATATAAGTAAATGTTTTACAGGAATTGCATCATTATTCATGTTCTTTAAAAAAATGTAAATCTTTAAGTCAATATCAATTTTAAGCTAAGCTATTTCATTTGTAAAACGCCATTTTGCTGTTTCAATTTTTAGTGTTTTAACCACACTTGAAAATTATTTGAGACAATTAAGTGGATCGCGTTTAGCGTAGAGGAACTACGCCACAAAAGCTATTGCCGAATTGAATCGGGCAATTGCATATTTTACAACAGCACTTTCGTGAGGATCCCTTTGAAAATTTTCACGAATTTGCTACGCACTATGCAGAAAATTCGCTGATTTTCGCGCAAAAATCCGCACAATCGTTCTCATGTATAAAATTAAACCACCCAATTAAAGTTGGCAATAGCTGATTTTGCGTGGTTCCTCTCTGCTTAGCGCGGTCCAATTAGGAGCACCTTTTCAGAAGGTGCGTATTATCCAAACCCTCTTACCAAAAAAGAATGATCTTCAGGAAATCCTTTTTTTAAAAAGATTCCCATTGTCTCGAGTCAACCACAATCCTGGGCTTGAATTAGAAAATTGGGACTAGAGTACAGAGACGAGGCGTGAATAACCGACTATCGATATTTCCCCATATGAAACTATGGTAAAGAATCGATTATTGAGGTGTTCGCTGCGAACACGCCACTAATCGATCATTTTCCGTAGATTTAACGGAGAGATGAATCGATATATCGCGAAGCACGCGATTTTCAAGAATCTACACCAGATACACATTCTCAATTCGGAGGGGCCGGCCTGGTCAAACAAGCTTTTATGTCGAGTAAAACAAACGAATTGTGGGCAGTCAATAAACACAATGAAACATCAATCCAAATTCAACTTCCGCCTTGGACCGAAGCGGCGCGTGGAACTCTCGCGTATAAAACCGAGGCCTCACCATAAACCGCGCCTTCAATTATCGAAGACGCAGGATGTTAGGCACGAGTGTCGAAACACCCGTCACTCTGCCGTCGTTTTCTGGGAGCGAATCGACGGCGCCTACGTCCGGTGTAGGTTACGGGATCATGTTTTTGACCGTGTTCAAGACAAGTTACATATGTGTATTCAAGCTATAGCCATACAGAAAAAAAGGAGATGTTTACATCTTAAGGATTGTTTACTCTGTGACGTAGGTCGATACTACTTTGACGTTGATATTACGGCAAAATCCGGAATTCGAAGTATGTAAAACGGGTCATAACGTCCGATTTTGGTTAAATCCACTCGTGATATAAGTTCAAACACTTTATTTGGGATAACTTAATTCTCTAGACTACACCATTTCCAAGAAGATTGATGATAAAATTCGTCCGTGCCGACCTACGTACCACGTCATCAAAAAAATAAAAAAAATGCAAACACATCCTTTTTTCCTATACCAATTTGATTTTTCTTTTTTCCATGCTAAACTTATAAATATTAAAGAGAAATAGGGCGTGTTTTTTACCAAAAGGAACAATGTACAAATTAATTCAATGAAAAGGAGTATGAGGCACAACAATTCTATATCGACCGATCCTTTTGATTAAATTCCTGTAGACAAAGTTCCATCGGGCAAAAAGATGTCGTCGTGAAATCACCCCCTAAATTTTCGCAAATTGATTCTACGTATTTGTTTTTGCCTTTCTTCATGGACCAAAAATGTATTTTGGACTTTTTGCTTCGAAAACTTCAATTTTTCAACATAATATTTTGACACAAGCGACCATTAATTTTTCTGTCATGATTCCTTTCAGAGATCTTGTTTACCATTCCATGATTGTTGTGGCCAGCGGAAAGTAACAGCAACTACATGAACCCGCTTTCCTAAAATTTTTGAAATAAGACCAGAGCGCGCCACTTTGAAGGCGTATTACTTTTTCTGGGAGATGGGCAGCAGCGTTGCGTTCAGAAAGCTTACCTTAGTGAAGGTCGACTTCGTGTGGCAGGCAGGGGACCATACTTCCCTGCTAAGGAAGAAGGCCGTATGAACCTTCAGACGTTGCCAAATTTCCTTTGATATAACGCGAATTTCCTTGTAAAGTTATAAATATTTTCCTCCCAAATTTCCAGATAATTTTGTTCGCAATCTCACCTAGAGATTCTGAAAATTTAAAAGAAATATATTCATAACTTTCCTCAAAAATAAACATTTCATCGAAGGAAATTTAGCAACCATCGAATGTGCATACGGCGTTCTTCTTTAGCACGGCAGCATAGTTCACGTCCCGTCACCTCCAATGACCGCCTGCGAAGGATGCACGGGGAAAAAAACTCCGTGCATGGGACCCGAAGTAGAGGTCATATGGATCTCTGAAGTTTTCGGTTCACGTATCTAAAAACTTGAGGTCGACCTGCCGAAGTTCGGGTCAGCCATCCAGGCACTTCGGTATATGTACCGGAACACTTCAGATGTGTAACCCGAACCCTTCGGTATATGTATGTATCGAAGTACTTCAGATGCCTGACCCGAACTTCGGCAGCTGGACCTCAAGTTTTTAGATACATGATCCGAAAACTTCAGAGATCCATATGACCTCAACTTCGGGTCCCAAGCACGAAGTTTTTTTCTCCGTCCCGGATTCCCGATACTATGCGAATGTTTCGCTTCCCTCTGCACGGGCTCACACGAGGTGACTGGGGGTGATGGGAGGCACGGGAGGTGACCTCCTGCCGCGCAAGGTCGACTTCCATTAGGGTACTCCTTAGTTCCCTGTCATGGATTTAAATTGAGAAAAGCAATGTTTCCAACTACCCAAGTAGCAGAGGTTGCAACAACTTGCAACAAAATCGTTTGATTCTTGCAACTAATAGATTGATGTGCAGATTGCCTACTCTCTCCCCCGAAGGAGCTATCATTGTTGGAACTAGTTGCAATTGAGTTGAAACATGTTTCAACTTCAAAGTATTGCTGGTTGCCTATCTTTAGATTTTAAACAACTTTGGTGCAGCAATTTTGCAATCTCAGCAGGTTGCAACTTTGTCTTCCGATCAGATCGCCGAAAGTCGGCACTTATCGACCAAAAGTTGACCGAAAGTTGCAACGTTGTTGCAACTAATACCAATATTGTTTCAACTTTTTGCAACTTTTACATTGAAAAATGCTACTTGGGTAGTCGTCTCTGAACCTCGGACCTTATAAGCGTTTAAAAACTCATGCTGAAAGCAGTCGGGGCCTTACCTGCGAAAATCACGACTCCAGCAGGCGTAGATGACCGGGTTCATGCCGGAGTTGAGCCAGCCCAGCCACGTGACGATACTGGACACGAGCTCCTCCTCCCAGATACACTGCGAGCAGAAACCCGAGAGCAAATTGACGATGAAGAACGGGAGCCAGCAGATGATGAAGACACCCATGACGATACCCAGCGTCTTGGCCGCCTTCTTCTCCTTGGCGAACTTGGAGAGCTTCCGCGACAGCGAGAAGTTCTTGCCCATCTGCCCGCGGTGGAGCGTCCTCGAAGCCGCGCTCGGCTGCCGCGAGAGGCCGTTAGCACCACCGCCCGGCTCCAGATCCCCGTCCTCGGCCTGGTTGAGCGCCGCGCAGATGTGCCTCGCGTCCCCACCGCGGTGGATCCTCAAGGTCAACGCCATCTCCCCCGCCGACATCACTTGCTTCGTGCCCAACTTCAACGACCTCGTCTGCGCAACCGCCGCACGGTAGATTTTATAATACGTAAACACCATTACAACCAACGGTAAATAAAACGAAATCGTCGATGAGAATATCAGGTATCCTAGGCTATCGGTGAACGGGCACTTGTTGTCCGGGATCTTATCCATGCGCACGGCGCGCCACCACACGATGGCCGGGAACGAGATCGTCCCGGAACAGATCCAAACCCCGGCGATGAGGAAGCAAGCCCGGTTCCTCGACATCCGGGTCGGGTACGTGAAGGGGTCGGTGATGGCCCAATACCGGTCCAGCGAGATGACGCACAGGTTGAGGATCGAAGCGGTCGAGAAGAGCACGTCGAGCGACCGCCAGATGTCGCACCAGGTGAGGCCGAGCACCCAGTTGTGCTCGAGGACCTCGTACATGGCCGAGAAGGGCATGACGACGAGCCCGACGAGGCAGTCGGCGATGGCGAGGGACGTCACGAAGTAGTTGGTCGCCGTGTGGAGGTAGCGCTCTCTGGCCACGGCGGCGACGACTAGGAGGTTGCCGAAGATGGTGACCATAGAGAAAAGTAGGAGAAGGCCGGCAAGCGCGGCTTTGTCTTGGTCCACGCCCCACCAGAGGTCGCTGGCGTTGCGAGTAGCGTTGGTGTCGAACGTCCACTCGTAGAGGGAGCCGTTTTCGGACCGGTTCCAGACGAAGAGTGGCCAGTCGTCCTCGTCGGTGAGGATCAACCCCGACTCCCGCATCCTCTCCTGGCGAGTTTCCTCCGTTTCACTGGTTCAGCGAGTGGTTGGTCGCAGTGTGTAGGGCACGCTCTCTGGCGACGTCGGCGACAACTAGATTGATGTCGAGGGGTAGTTCGGGTCATCGCCACCGATAGCGCTCCGGTCGCCCTGCATTGGAGGCTCCGCAACATATCTTCTTCATGCTCTCATGGCTGTCGTTTCCACACTTCTCTCATCATTGCTGTTCGAAACTGTAACGCCACTGAATCCCAATTAATTAACCGATCAAACTTGCTCGTTGTTACATGAGTGCCGGAACTTTTTAAATGTCAGATGTGAGACCAGACCTTTATAGTTAATGAATTTGTAAACTACCTATGTCTGGTTCATTCGTTTAGCAACAATATGATCTGATTGATCCGTCACATTTAGAATTTCTTGACTTTAATGTCCAAAAAGTACCACTTGAACATTCTTGAAACTTAATATCACTGCGCGGAACCTAGAAAAATATATTCGCAATTTAGATGAAGTGATTTTCTCCGAATTTTATCGTGTATTTAGGGAGCAGAAATTTCGACTAATTGCCCTACATGCATCGCACGCATCTTGGTAGCGACGTGTCTTCATAGCATCAAATGCAGGTGCCATTCATATTTCCTTTCAATGATACCCGCGCATCTTATCAAACTCCTCTCCTTTTCTCTTAATCGCAAAAAAGTGCAATTTAGCACGAAATTTAGCAGAGGAGGGAGTTTCTCATTTTAAGGGAGTTTGGAAAAAATGTATAACTGCTGAAGAAATTAGGTGGGTTTTTGTGGAATTTTGTCTCTTTTTATACTTCATTTTGTACTAAAATCCGTTCTGCTTGATTAAATCTCAGTGGTCGATTTACTTCAAAGGGGAGAGCAGTTAAATGCGATCACTGACTGCAGTCTTCAAATTCAAAACTTGGTGAAATTTTCTCATGCCTTCATTTCCCCAGAAAGGTAAATAAATTAAATAATTGTAGCCTCCTCTCAGAGTTGCAAACTAACATCCTATCGAGCCAAAGACACCTGATACTCATTATCAACTTTATAATGCCTTGTATGAATGATCCCAAAAAGAAAGTATCTTATCTCCTGTAAATTCTGAATGATGTGCTATCAGGTTTTCATTAAAATGAAGGAGATGGATTTTAATGCCTGAGAAAAGTATCTTTGACGTTTCACTTCGACATTTATTTTACATTTTCTTATTAAATAATGTCTTCGGGGGATAAAGGTAATTTTCTTAGAAAAATATTTACAGAAATTAAGAAGATCCTGTGTTTATCCTTCAAAGCTAATTTAGTAACGCATACTACTACTAATACTACCAATGTAGTTCATTGAGGAAAAATCAATGAATGTGGATTTAGAATTACTTTCAAAGAAAGTTGAATGGAGGGATCAAGTCTTTTCAGTGGAGGTGAGCTTGAACACTTTAAATGCAACACATTCTCGCAGCAATTCCAGCAAACAACAGAACGGTTTTCGAGTGTTCATAGAAAAAAAGAGAGTTCAGTCGCAGGGAACTAAACTTGAATTTATTATCAAGATCCCCCCCCTGCTTTGCATTTTTCTCCCATCTAACTTCTAAAAAATAATTATCTTCCGGCTTTAAACAGTTTTAAAAATCATTGCGGTGGGGTCTCTCTCTCTTCCTCTTCCTATAAAACTCGCTGGCGTAGCGTTCAGCACCCCGCCTGAGAGATATTTTAATTGAAAACAACGCTGGAGGTTCCTATGAAATCTAATTTTTTCCTCTGAGAATTAGACCTGCATCATTTCAAGTCGGTTCAATTTTGGATCAAGATCATAAGTGCGATTTTTGATAGTAGACTACATCGTCAATTAAGTGAGTAATGAGCAAAAATCCTCGCATACTAACACAAATAAGCCAAATTATTACAAAAATCATTGTTGCATAATTAATTGGCGTTTAATGGGTATTGTCATAACAGGTAGTTTATTCCAGATATACTTGTCTGAAAATATGTGTACCATTTTTTTTATCCCTATTTGTTCGCATGATTCAATCATTACCTCACTTTGTTTGTACTTTCTACTCCTTAAAAAGGAAATAAGAATTCTGCTCTGGTGGTTTAATTTGGTTCCGTCCTATTTTCAATACTCAGGGATATCGTTAGTGCTATATTAACATGTTGTACATGCAGTTTACATTAATCACTGAAAGATTTTTTATTTCCATAATTTATCAAAAGTAAGCCTTTCTTTTTTTCCTGAGCAAGAGTTCTGCTCTTGGACTGAATGACAGAATGCACATCGGCGTTAATGTAAATTTACATGAATGTAATGTCTTTCTATGAGTCAAATTTTACTATTTAGCAATCTTGAAAGAAATCATGTGTTACTTGGTTCCATTCTGCAATTTCATCCTACTTTTCGTCGAAAAGAAACGACTTGCAGTAAATATTGCGCAGATGATAATTCTAACCTACTTCAGGTCTGTTGATCAAAAATAATATCAAAGAGCTCATTAGAGGCAAGAGGTTGGGCACAGAAATGTGCTCTCAATGAACCAACGAGGGAGCCTGCGAACCACTTCAATGAGCGACTCATTCAAATTGGATTCCCTTTCATTGAACGCTGCAAATATCGTTCATAAAAACGCTCTGCGACATGTTTTAAAAAGTGAATTGGATAAAAAAATAAAAATAAAAAAGAGGTCGCTTCTTTTGTTTGGTGGGTTTGAGTCACGCCCTCCCCCATTATATTTCCAACCAATCGCAATTCAAAAAATTTCGGTCGGTCAAGCGCGATAAAATCCGGTCGAACGTGAGGCATGAATGAAATGTACATTTTAAAAAGAAGTTCAGGAGAATGAAGGCATGAGGAAATCGACGAATAACGAATGGATCAATCACGGAAAAATACCGTTCGGAGAGAATCACATCAAAAAGGAGCGAAAGGATTCCCCATTTCACGCCTGTTGGCCGGCATCAAAGCGACCCGCGCGGACGAGAAAAAACACGCGCGAAGCGCGGAGAGAACCGCGACCGAAAGCGAGTAGGACCGAGGGGGTTGACGAGTGCGCCGCGACTGCCGGGACCCGCAGAGCACCCGAGTCGCGCGGACGGTATCCCGACCCGACGGCGCACAGTGGTTCGAGTCAATTAGAGAGGTCGGACATGGAATTTTTGACCATAAAACTGCAAAAGGACCACTAGGCAAGGTGCGAGGTGGTTTCACGATAGCTAGAATAGTTATGTCGCCGTGACAGACTACACATTTTTCGGTCATATTTTTGGTAGAAATGATAATCACTCGAATTTTTTCGCATTAATCTTCAAAGAGTTACCATACCACCGTAAGAGTTACGTACTATAACGCTTTCTGATGATTTCTTGCTCTACTTCTCAATTTATATTATGTGAATTCCGAAAATGTGCTGTCCATTACGGCCAATAAAGGACGGGAAAGGAACAATGCTCGTGGGAAAGGAACAATGCTCAATTGAGAAGTCTGCCAAAAAGTCGTCGTGGGACGCGATTTGACTCACGTAGAGTATTGCACTTCTTATGCGGGCAATTTGAATTTCCCGTAACCAATGTAAAATTAAAACGTTAATACCTTAGTTAGGAGTTAATTTCAGTAGTTTTCAATGCAAGAATCGTGTTTTACGTGAAATTTTGGTTGAGAAACATGTATCAAAATGCTTAAATTCGTACTTTGTCCAGTGGTCTATTTTGATGTTTAATTCGTCACATTTTATATTTTAAAGGATGCCTCTAGAAGAGAGTTCTTCTCTACGAAAAAATGAAAATATGTTGAAAGGAAAAGTCATAAATTTGAAAATAAAATAAAAGGCATAGTAATTAATTTTAAAAATTGTAAAAAAAAAAAAATATAAATGAAAATACGTAAAATCAAGTCTAATGATTTGGGTTTCTAAAATTGCATTTTAGTGTTATTATTTAGTTATTAATAAAATGAAAGTTTGAGCTTTTTCCACGAGTAGACCAATGGGACCACTTTTAGCGCCTCAACGTTCTGTATGAACGGAGTTATAAGCGTTTGAAGTTTCTAAATTTTGTCCGGCCTCTCTTATTGACTCGATCCACTGTGCGACCCGCAACCCTTGCGCTCGTGCGGATCTCTGATCGCGCGGGCGAAAGTTTTATTAATTTCATTCTCGGCGAATCTAAAAATATCCGCACGCAAGGAGGCGATGTGATGCCTCCGGGCCGCGACACGGACGCACCTTCCAACCCCTTCCTCGTCTTCTCCGCGGGGGTTGCGCGATGAGGGAGAGGGGTGCTTGCACTTAATGCCTCCGTTTTCTTAAGTTTCTTCAGCTGCGAAGACTTTGCTCTGCCTACGGCATGGTTTCCCTTTTCCAGAAAAATTGGGCTACATAAAAGTCGAAAGGAAGACTCCGGAATTCTTATTTTGTCATGACTTTTTGCAGCTTGAAACATCGCGGAAAGAATAATGTTTGGGACTATCCCCTGTAATGGAGATGTTGCATGTGTGAGGAATTTCCGATTTGACTGTTGATTCTTATGTAAAATTTCGCGAGAAACACGATGGTGCAACTGGTTTTCTCTGAAATCAACTCCCAAGCTCAAAAAAATCGCAAGTTGAGGCCAAATTGGAGGAGATATCCCACGCTATCCTGAGAGTCCACCTCTACGTCAAGACGAACTCTCCATGCTAAAATAGAGAGAAAATACATTAGCAGGGTTGCCGTGTTTTCAGTTGTGGAGTCCAAAAATAAAGTGGCAGCCCTGCTAATGTATTTGCTCCTATCTTTGCATGGAGAGTTCGTCTTGATGTAGACGTGGACTCTCAGGATAGCGTAGGATATCCCCTCCATTTTGGCCTCAACTTGAGAGCTTTTTTTGAGCTTGGAAGTTGATTTCAGAAAAAACCAGTGGCACCATCATGTTTCTCGCAAACTTTTATATAAGAATAAATAGTCAAATCGCAAATTCCTCACACATGCAACATCTCCATTGTGCTACTACCAGGGCCAGATTTAGAGGGTGGCCACATGGGCCGCGACCCATGGCCGCAAATTTTGCAATTTTTTTTAAATGTAGGTATACAAAAAAAAAAGAAAAAACGATTAAAAAAAAATTACAAACGAGAGAAGGCTAAAAAATCTCTCATTTCCTGACAGTATAGTAATTTCTAAGTTCCTCGTCTCTGGGTGATACAAGAGACAGCTCCTTTAATTAGTCGAGTTAAGAGAGAAATCAAACACGCAATTTGGCCTGGAGCAGCGCGGCACAGAGAGCATTGATGACGAGGACTTGAGATAAAAAGGAGAAACCCTCGGCGAAGAAGTCGGCATGTAACACATATTAGCACCTACAAGACCGCATGAATACTACACATTGCGTCGAAACAGCAGCGGTTGGCGAGAAATGCATAGCGCCTACAAGACTGCATGAATACTTCACGCATTCCGCCGAACGCAGTGCGGGCTGCGCGGCGCGGCGGCATTTCTTCGCAGTTTGACGCGCCTTCAATCCGGCGAAGCTGCAACATGCTTACAGCCGTGGTCAAATATTTGTATGTCAAGCCTGCCGTAAACGAACTCAAATAAAGATGGTTCCAAATAACCAGGAGCTTATTTCCCTCGGTTGCAATTTTGCGAACCACAGTTAATGCTTCAATTTGGGCTTATCTTTTTAAAAAATCGGCGCACAGATTCTCTGAAAAATTTACAATAATTTTACGAACGGTTTTAATTGAAATCACTGGAAATTTCATCGCGAAATTTAGTCCTCTTTTCCCTTTTTTTCCTCCCGAAAAAACGACCTAGGTCCCTGATTCTGAAGCTTAGTATTAGGATAGTTATTTTAGTTTCTTATGGTGAAAATTAGAGTTTCACAGTGTTAAAATCATTGATCCACATTTATGTTTTTTCTTTCATAATTTTTTCGTTCATTTCTTACAAATGGAATGCCTTGTCTACACAGAGATAGGTTTACGGAAATTAACTTTCGCGTAAAGTTCCGTGAACTTTTGCTTATAGTGTTGACAGGGCTTTCGCAAAATATGTGTCTTACACGAGTAAACGCGTCTTATACACCTTTCTCCCTCCAGCACGTTCACTTGATGGTTTTTATTGATGTTTCAAAACGAATGAGAAAGGAGCGGCAAAATACAGGCGGTCCATCGGCGAAAAGTAGGTAAATCCGGCCCTGGCTACTACCCCATTAAGTGTCTTTTCCTTATTTTTCTTCTTTTTTTGTGGATATTTCTAATTAATTATGGTTGTACCGCAACATTTTTAGGTTCGTAGACTAATTAATTGGGGCAGTACCACAATTCATCGCTCCCCGGACGAAGGGACGTATCTCCATTTCAAGGTTGCAAGATTGACTCAAAAATTTTAATTTTTTACAAGAGTAAACCTGTGAAAGAGCCTCGCCAAAAAGTGGTGTTTTTTCGCCCCTTTTTTTATACCCGAGTTGGTCAACCGGACAGTGCTCAAATGAAAGCCTATGGTAAGGCAAACTTCCATGCAAAGTTTCAACTTGAAGTGACCCCTGGTTTAGGCTGTACAGCGTTGCCAATTTTCCAGTTTCATGTGCTAAAATCAAGGATATTGGACTATTAGTCCGG